GGGTTCAGTGGGCCAGGAGCAAGAGGCAGAGCTGAAGCCCAAGGTCAAGGGGCTTTTACCCAGCCCCTTGAGCCTGGCACTTTTAACCAAGACTTCTAGCCTCCAAAACTGTAAGAGCTTTAACTGTTTGTTAAAGCCATCCCATTTGTGGTCCATTCCTGTCAGAGTGACATTAGGTAACCAAAACACACTTCTATTGACAAAATCTTTCTGTAACTCAGCTAACCCAAGCTAAAACCTTAAATCCAGCCCCTCTAATAGCTTCTTCTCAAGAAACCCCATGATTCCTTGGGCTTCTTTGCTGCAGAGAACTAAAAGAGAAAAACAGTTTGGGATTACAGGTATGTTCCTGGTGGTGTTTGGCTGAGGTTCACTGATGGAGCAAATAGGCAACACAGAAATGGAAATCATTGAATCTTGGTAGATTATGTGAGAATTCTGTACACTCCAAAATCTACAACTTTTCATTAGGTTTGAAATTACATAAAAAGTTAAACAAATCAATCAGGAAATGGTCATAGTAATAACAGTAACAATAATGTTGATGACAACAACTGTCGAAATTATATATAAATTAACAGTAACCAGTAGCTGATCCTCCTTCTTCAAGTATAAGTCTTCTACTGCAAGGGAGGGCAACAAACCCATTCCTCAACACTCAGGAGAAGTATTTGTTCATGACTTCTAATCCCTACATTTTCACTTTATATTTGCCAGCTCCTTTTGCCTATGTCAGGATTTTGCAAGATCTTATAATTGATGACATTTATTAAGAGTGAAAAAAATCATTGGGCTGAGTAGGGCTCTGTAGTGTTAGTCTTGGTTTTATCTGTGACATCTGGCAGGGTCTTCTCTCTAGGCCCAAATTCCAGGAAGCACTGTTTCTTGAGCTTCTCAGACTTTAAGTTGTACAAGAATTACCATGGGGTCTTCTTAAAATATGGCATCCTTGGTCCTATCCATCTTGTTGTTGTTAGCTGACTTGAAGTCAACTCCTTGACTGATGGTGACCCTGGTCCACAATGGAACAAAACCCTGCCATAACCTGTGCCATGTCCATGCAGGTTGGGGATCAGACCATTGTGATGCAAAGGGTACTCACTGGCTGACTTTATGAAGTAGATCACCAAGCCATTCTTAGTCTAGAAGCTCTTCTGAAATATGTACAAAATCATAGCAATAGGCAAGCTTCCACTGACAGATGGAAGGATGCATGGTGTCTGCACATGAGGTGCATTGGCTAGTAATTGAAATCAAGTCTCTCTTTCTCGCTAATGAAAGGGGAGAGTTCTGCCACCGAACCATTGATGTTTCAGGTCTCATCCAAAGAAATTCTAAATCAGAAGTTCTTGGGTAGGGCTCAGTGATGGGTTTTTCTACCACATTATGCCCATGCTCCTAGTTCATGGAACACAGTTTGAGAAGCCCTGTAGTGCATTATCATTCCCATAGAAAACAGTCCTTGCTAAACAGAAATATACACAAAGAATAACTAAACAAGCATGCATGAAAACGTTCACAGTTACTATGTTTACTTTCTAAGGTTATAACCCATTGCCACAGACTCA